GGGGGGGGGGGGGGGGGGGGGGGGGGGGGGGGGGGCTCACAGCTCTGTGCCCCCTGTGGGGCAGCCCGAGCAGCGATGCTCAATAGGTGGTCCCTGTTTGCTTTGGCCGCGCACGTCCCAGCCCTGCACGCTGCTCCCGTAGAGCTGCATCCCTGCCCCGGGATGGGGTCCACAGGAGGGGTTGGGGAAGGGGACGGGGGGGGCTGGGGAGGTTTTGGGGTGAGGAGAGCACAGACACAGCGGCGGCTGTTGGAGGAATTTTTATATTTCCCCCTTCACGGCGCTGGAGGGAAACGGCGCAATGGAACATGTGGGAGCCATAAACGTCCAGCCCTGAGTCGTGGGGCAGCCCCTCCCCACGGCATCGCCCCCCACCCGGACACCCCCGGAGCAGGAGGTGGGGCGGCGGGTGACGTGTGTCCTCGGGTCACCCTGAGCCGTCCCCACCGCACGGCTCCATCCTAAAGGACTCCTTGGGGTTGGGGTGCGAGGATGCTCAGCACCCGGGAGCGGAGGGGGGGTCGTTAAAGCATTAAAGGTGCTGCCCTGCAATGCGTAGAGCCGCCCTCCCGTCCACCCCATCAGCCGCTTCCCTGCACCGGGAGTGGAGGTCTGGGGGGGGGGGATGAGGGTCTGCACCCCACATCTGGGGCGCTCACGCAGCCCTGCCCCATCCTCAGCCCCGGAAGCTGAAACCTGAAGCTGTTTTTGCTGCTGGTTCCCACTCCATGGCAGCTATTTTATCAGCTGTTCCCGCTGCTGTTCTGCAGCTTCTGCAGGGCCGTGGTGCAGCACGAGGACCCACGGTGCTCACTGAGAACCCCTGCAACCTTTGCTATGTGTCACATCCCCTCTGCACAGCTGGAGGAGATAGCAGGGGAAACTGAGGCACGTGGGCCCAGGAACACAAGGGTGGACGGCTGTGCAATGCACACAGGTACGAGCGCACACACGTGGCTTCACACGTGCACCCAGGGGTGCTTTGGGTGCAGATTGCTGCTGCTCAGACCGACCACCACCCCCCCACATCAGCACCGACGGAGGGCAGGACGGGGGGCACGGAGGAAGGCAAAAAGCAGCCCCAGCATCCTTTGGTGATGGTCAGGAACGGGCTGATTCTGCCCCACAGACCCTCAGTGCTCTGGGAATGCCCAGGGAAAGGCGTGGAGCGACACAGCTGGAGCGCTGCAGAGACCCCATAACGTCCCACAGCAGCACAGGGGGGTGGGGGGACACAGCAGTGCTCTGCCACCCCCCGCCCCACAGACTGCAGGCAGAGCTGCTCCTAGATCTGTGTTTCTGGAGGAGAAGCTCCATCCATCCACTTCCTCCTCCCTTCCCCCTGCTGCCCCACACCGAACCCACAATGCGGCCACTTCCACCTCTCCTTGCTCCACATGTGTGCCATTGCCCCACGCCTGCTGCTGCCCCACATCCCAGCTCAGGACCTCCTGCTTCCCCCCCCCTCCGCAGTTCATGCAGGGCCCAACGTTGGGCGCTTCAGCACAGGGGGCACAATTCCATGGAAAAACATTTCCTGAGCATCCCTGAGCATGGGGGTAGCAGCGTCCTTAAGCCCTGACCCCCAGTTGGGGCTGACGGGAGCCACAACTCCAACCCGGAACTCCTTGGGGGTGGGGGGGCAAAAGGGAGGCAGCAGTGGGGGCACAGCAGGCGTCGGGGCCTTTGCCAGCGGCTGCTCGGAGTGATGGGGGGCTCGGGGGTGCCCCCATTCAATGCGCCCCCAGAAGGGCGGGTCGCCCCCCAGCTCCCTGATGGGGGGGGGGACCCACCTCCCCCCCCCCCCCGGGGGGGGGGGGGGGGGGGGGTCCCGGCACAGAGGTTTCTATGGCCCTGCTGTGTTCTGCATTGGAGGGGGGAGCAGCGCAGCCCCCCAGGGAACCCCTCTGTGCCATCACCGACCCCCCGGCCCGGGCGATGCTCGGGGCTGTGGAGCTCGAGGCGCGGTACCGTGCGCTGCTGAAGTGGCCCAAAGTGACCCAAAGTGACCCAAAGGAGTCCAAAAGAGTGAAGGGTGGGGAGAGGGGGGGGGTCGGGACCCCGCAGCAGCCCCGCGTACAGCTCGAGGAGCCCCGGGACCGGGCGCTGCGTCACCGCGGGGCCGAGGCAGCGCCTGCCCCGGTACCGGGGATGAGAAACGGCCCGGAGCCGGACCGCCCCGACCGCCCCATCCCTGCCCCAGCCCCGTGGGGGGGCACGGCGCTGCCCACCCCCCCGAAACCGCGAGGGCGTGGGAGCCCCGTACGGCCCGAGCCCCGCTCGCAGCGCCCGCATCCCCACCTCCGGCCGGTGCTCCGCGCTCCGCTCCTCCCGGCGGTGGCGATTCGGTCCCGGTGCGTCGCTGTGCGGTTCGGTTCGGTCCCGGTGCGGTTCGGTCCCCGGCGGGGCGGATCCCGGAGCTCAGGGTTAGACGGGACGGGCGGCCCCTCTCCCCCCGAACCCCACCGGGCCCGGAATCGCGGTCCGCCCACACCGAACGCTGCGGGACCCCGCGGGGGCGGCGCGTCCCGGGGCAGAAAAGCGGCGGAGCTGCGGGATTCAACTTCGGCCGGCGGCGGCGGAGCGGAGCGGCGTTCGGGACCCCAACCGGGAGCGCCGCGGTCACTCCGAAAACCCGGGGTGGATCCGGCACGCGCGGCCCTGCACACGCGCGGGGCCATCCCACGTGTGTGAGTGTGAGCGTGAGTGTGAGCGTGAGCGTGAGTGTGAGCGTGAGTGTGAGCGTGAGCGTGAGTGTGTGAGTGTGAGTGTGAGCGTGAGTGTGAGTGTGAGTGTGTGAGTGTGTGAGTGTGAGTGTGTGAGTGTGAGTGTGAGTGTGAGTGTGAGTGTGTGAGTGTGAGTGTGTGCAGCGGGTCCGTGCAGCCGTGCACCGTTCCAGGTGTGCAAAGGATCCGGGCACGCTCACAGCGATCGCATCTGTGCAAAGGTGCACGCGGGGCGCACAAAGTACCGTGTGCCCGGGACCCCCGCACACGTGCACACGCGCGGCTTTGCACACATGCACGCACACGCACACGCGTGCACAGCGCGCCGGGTGCCGGCCCTGACCCCAAACCCTGGAAGGGATGAGACGCCCCCCCCCCCCCCGCTTTGCCCACACTGTCAGGCTGCGGCTGGGGCTCCGGGCCTGCAGCCCCTTCCTCTACACGGAGCACGGAGGTCCCGCAGCCTCCGTGCCCCCCCCCGGTGGGGGCTGCGATGGCCCCGTGTGCCCCGCACCCCTCCGTGTCACCGCGCACATGATGGAGGGGGGGGCTGCAGCGGCGGCAGCGCAGCGATGGGGGCTCGGGGGGGGGAGCGGAGGTGGAGGTCGCCGGGTTGGGGAGGTGATTTCCCCACCTGGGGGGGCGCTTTCCCTTTGGGGCCGCATCCCTTGGCTGTTTGTTTGCACTGCAGGTTGGTCCCCGCGCTGTCACGGCGGTGTCACAACGCCGTCCCGATGCGCAGCTATTTCGGGGAAGGCGCCCTTTGCCCCCCGCTCCCAGGCAGAACGTGACAGTGCGTGGCAGTGCCAGCAGGGCACAACGGGGGGGGGGGGGGACAGACAGCACGACACCCCCCAGCCCCATTCCTCTTCCCCACAGCCCACCCTGAGCCCCACGCGCCCTTTTGGGAGGGGTTGGCAGAGTCCAAAGCCTCTCACGGCCCCCCCGGTGGCACCCAGCACGGCGCCGCGGCGATGCCCACTCGCACCCCGTGGCTCCCCGTCCCCACTGCGCTCTCGAAGGTGCCGGAGCTCCGCGCTGCTGCTGACCCCGCGGCCTCTGAGCGGGATTACCCTCCGCATTAGGGATCCTTGTCCTCCCCGTGTCCCCGTGTGTCGGCACGCACCGCTCTCCCCGCGCCGTATGGCACCCCTGCAGGACGCGCTGGCCATAACAGGGAGCTGCGCGCCTCGGTTTCCCTCTCCACTGCCATCATCCGGGACCCGCCTGGATGTGGGGGGGGTCCCAGAGCTGCCCCCCAACAACCACACCGACGGTGCCCGCTGGGTGCGGGGGGTGGAGATCCCTCCTGCACCAAGGGGGGGCCGCCAGAGGGTCCCTGTGGGCTGCGGCCGATTGCCGCCCTCAGATCAGCCCCAGCGCAGCGCCAAGGTGCTGGGTGCAGTGAGAGTGGCCCCCCCGTGCCGTTTCGTAATGCGCTTCAGGGGCTGAGCAGCTCTGCTCCTGAGCTGAGTGACCCCGGTTAAGCCAGCAGGAAAACCCCCCCAGCCCCGCGCACGGCGTGGGGCAGCGCTGCGCACCCCCTCCCCACCCCAAACCCCCCCGTCGCCCCTTCCCGTGGGGTGACGCGCGCCCACCAGAGCCGGGGCAGCCCGTACGCAGGGATGCGCGCACAGACCCCTCCCCGCCCCCCAGCCCCAGATAATCTCGCCCTCCCGTTTAGGAAAGTCAAAGCGGCTCAGAGCGGGATGGGATGATCCACGAGGATTAGGGGCTGAGAGGTACCCCCAGCCCCGCGCTCACTGTGGGTCAGCATGTCAGTGTGTCAGTGAGTCAGCACCGGCTGTGCAGCATCCGCGCCGCAGGGCAAGGAAAAGCAGAGCCGGGCGGATGCCGGGATGCTGCAGGGTGGGAGCGAGGAGGCTGCGGATCCAACGCGTGCCCGGCCCGAAGCCCAGAGCGTCTGCATCCCTGTCAGCAGCTGCGCGGGGCGCCGCCCCGGTCTGCAGTGCGGGGTGGGAGCAGGGAGCGCGCGGATCTCTGCCTTCCGGCCCCAACCCCGCACCTGCATCTCAGCACCTGCGTGGCGTTGCTTCATCGGCAGCGTGCACGTGTGCCCCAAAGGCCGAAGCATCGGAGAAGGGGGGAGGGAGGGGGTCAGCTCTGCCCCTTATAGGGTCATTTTGGGGAGCGTGCGCCGTGGCCGTGCTGCCCCACAGCCCTTGGGGGGCTGCCCGCAACGCGTGGCTGATGAAAGCTGCCCTTTGTCCGCCCCAGCGCGGGGCCAAGTGGGTTTGTTCCCAGATAAAACGGCCCCACGGTGAGCTTTGAGCGGCGCTTGCACAACGAGGACCCAGGGTGGCCCGGTGGCATCGTGCAGGGATGAGAGGAGGGCATCGCCTCCCACCCCAGGATCTCCCCAGCCTCACGCTGCCTGCGATGCTCCCCACCCCTTTGGGTGTCACTGGACCGCGGTGGGGGGCTGTGGGGAGGAGGGGGGTCCCGGAGTGATGAATGGGGAGCTGCGGGACTGGGGTATCAATGAGGGGTGGTGTGGAGGGGGACTCTGCTATTTGTGGTGGAGTCCCGAGGTTTGGGGGATGGATTTGGGGTCGTCGTCCCCTCCTCGTGCGGGTGGTGTCAGGAGAAAGCAGAGACAGAGCCCGGGCGTCGCATCTCCACCCGTTTATTGGGGAAAGCTGCACCGAAGTGGGAAAATAAATTAAAAGCATGGAGCACGTGGATGCATTGCACACATGAGCACCAGAAAGCGAAGGCAGAGTGTGGGTTCTGTGGTGGAGATGTGGGGGGCAGGGGGGAGAACAGAGCCCCGGGGGGGTCCCTATGGCTGCAGAAACCTCTGTGGGGAAGTGGGGATGGCTGCAAAACCGGAGGTGCAAAGCTTTGTGTCTTTTATCTCCATCTTTAGTGCGGCCTCAAAGGCAAAGTGTGAGCAGGAGCTCCGCTGGGAGGAGCTGGGCTGGGAGGGAGCTGAGATGGGGGGTTCACACACAGACACACAGACACACAGACACACACGTGGGGTTTGCACACGTGGGGAATGGGGCTGGGAGGGGACAGAAACCCCACACGCAGCTCTGCATCCTCCTGGGGCTCCTGGCAGCATCTCCCCCTTCACCCTCAGCTTTTAGGGCCGTGAGTGCATCGCTCCCTGACCCCAACCCCCGCCCGCATTTGCAGCAGTGGGGCAGAGGAGCAACAAAAGCCTTTCAGCCCCACTCCGGCGGAACGGAGCCGCTCCCTCCCCGCTCCCTCCATCGCACCGCAGTCCGGGGGGGGGGGGGGGGTATTGGGGGTCTCCCCGTGGCAGTCCTGGATGTGTGGGGGCCCCAGAGCTGCCTCCATCAGCTGCACCCGCACGCGTCCACGATCATATCGGGGATGTCGGTTTTGACGATGTTGCTGTTGCGATCGAAGTAGAGGAGCGACAGGGGGCGGCGACGCGTGGGGACGCAGCACGAATGGGCGGCCGTGCGCACGTTGTTGGCTTTCACCAGGCTGAGCACGGCGCTGTGGAAGGACGAAGCCATACCGGGGCTGCCCGCAACGTGCAGCGGGCACTGCCCCACGCAGTAATTGAGCTGGTAACCCTCGGGGCTGATGATCCAGTCGTTCCAACCGATGGATCTGAAGTCCACGTAGTGATCCCGGCGGCAGCACAGAGAGGAGTCGCGGCTGCACCTCAGGCTGCGTTTGACCACGCGGTGCTCCGGGTCCCTCAACGACGCCGAGGCCACCAAGAAGGGCCGACGGGGCCGAGTGGCGTTGGAGGCGGTGACGAAACCTCCGCCGTCCCCGGAGCTCTGCAGGTACAGCCGGAGGGTTCCGCGCTCCGCCCCGAAGGAGCCGCGCAAGGCGGGGAGGATGGAGAAGGTCCTCCAGCCGCTGCCCCGAGCGCTCAGCCGCCGTGCGCTCAGCAATACGCGGCGTTCCCCCCCGGTGTCACCGCGCCCCTCCAGCAGGGAGATGCTGAGGGTGACGTTGGTCACCGCGCCGCGAGGAACGCGCACGTAAAGCCACAGCTGGACCTGAACAACGCGCACGTCCTGATCCGGAGGGGGGGAGAGGTGGAAGCGCAGCACCGTGCCGGGGGAGGACGTGGGCTCTGCGGGGAGAGAGGGGAGGGGGTGAGCGGTGCACCCGCAGCGCCCTTAGGGCTGAGATCCCACCTGCAACGTGTGGGGGGCGCGCCCCCCCCGCCCCGGGGGGGGGGGGGGGGCGGGCGCGCGCGCGGGGGGGGGGGGGGGGGGGGCCCCCGCCGCCCCCCTTGGGGGGTTCCCCCCCCCCCCGCGGCCCCCCCCCCCCCCCCCCCCGTCCTTCGGTCCGTCCCGCCCCTCCCCGAGGATGCTGCACTTTGCGCGCCTGTCCACGTGTTGCTTTAGAAGGGACCCGTCCCGCTCTGCCCAATGGAACGGGCACACAGGGGGACAGCGGGGACCGGGGGCGCCCTGACCCTGATCTTAACGCTGTCCTTGCCCCCGGCCAGCCCTGCAGCCCTGCTTTGGGGCACGGTTCCCGTCCCTGCAGCCCTTCATCCCCTTACAGCCCCCGTCCCCTTACAGCCCCCCATATCCTTTCAGCTCCAATCCCTCTGGCCCTCAACCATCTCTGTCCCCCCCACCCACACCCAACCCGGCCACCATAAATCCAAGCCGAGGATTTTGTGCACATGAGAGTCCCTTCAGTCCCCTCCCCACTGCTGCTCTGTCCTCATCCATCGCGGGGTGGGGGGGGGGGACACAGACAGACATCACAGTGCCACAGCACAGGGACCCCCGAGGGGGGGAGAGGAGGGAGACGGGGTCCGTCTGTATCATTGAGCCCCTCCCAGCAGCGCCGGGGGTCACGGACCGACGGTTCCATTCCAGTCCGGGCTGAGCCCTCCTGGACACCCCCACCCCACCGCGAGGATCCCGGGGGGAGAGGGGGGGTGAGAGCAGCGCTGCGGTGCTCGGGGCTGCGCCTCTCGGGCCAGTAATGGGGTCCCGCACCCACAATGAGGTCCCGCACCCACCTTCCTCCGCGAAGCTGATGATCTCAAAGCGCCTCTCATCCTCGGGGGGGTCACCACGTCGAGGCCCTTCCGCCTGCAGCCTCCGCAGCGCCCGAGCCACGGCAACGCGCGGCACCGCGTGGGCGATCCGCGGCCTTTCGCGGAGCCTCAGCCCGTCCAGCAGCTGCCGTTTGGCCGCCTCTTCCAACAGCCGCCGTTCCGTTTCGGCCCCGCACGATGGGCACCGTTCTGTCGCCCCGCACAGCACCGCAGCGGCGAGCAGCCACGGGAGCGCGCAGCGCGTCGCCATCGAACCGACGGCACGGACCGGAACGGAACGGGATCGCCGCGCCGCCGCCACCCGCTTTGGGCACCTGCGAACGGGGGCGGACCCGCAGCCCCCCCGCCATTGGACGGAGCACCGCCCGTCCCGTCGGGCACGGCCGGGGCGGGGGATTACCGGGATTAAACGCCCCCCCCCCCGCGGTGAGGTTGGGAGGAGGCTCCGAGGAAGGGGCTCCAGGAGGGGTCACACGGCCCCCACCCCCCCCCCGCCGCCCCCATCCCGGGCTCCTCTGCTGTGTTCCTGCCGAGGGGGGGCAACGGCGCGCACGGGGATGCACACGTGTGCGCGCTCATGGGGTGTCCGTGGAGCGCTGCGCACGTGGGGTTTGCATGCACGCGCGCGCGCTGCTCGCTCCCAGCTCAGCATCTGCCTGGGGATGGAGATGGGGGGGGAGGGGGTCCGCGCAGCCCCCAGTGGGGCAGTGTAGAGCTTATGGGACTGCCCTCAGCACAGGCATTGCCCCCATGCACACCGCAGGGCTGTCGTGCCCAGGACACACACAGCCCCCTACCCCTACCCCTACCCCTATCCCTATCCCTACCCCTATCCCTACCCCTACCCCTATCCCTATCCCTATCTCTATCCCTATCCCTACCCCTACCCCTA